TGACATCTTAAGGAAAAGCACCAAATTAATTTGATGACATTTGATATATATATCCACAAAAATAGACATCAAAGACATGTTATAGGCCAGACGAAAGATACGCTGAGGAAAATGAGAAAAAAAAAAGAAACAAAAATGACAAGTTCCCCGCGCCAGGGATTGAACCCTGACCACGGACCGCAACATGGTGCGGTCAGATGCTCTACCCACTGAGCTGCGGGGAACTTGTCGGTATGTGAGATTGAACTTTAAAATCATGTTTTAGGTGTGCTGCGTACTGCAAAAATCAAGCCTAGAAACATATGTGCTATTTGATAGGACGAAAATAATCTCCTTTGCAATGGTTTGGAATTGATTCAATTAGTAAGAGGAAACTCTGTCCACTTAAATTTGCTGTTTCAATTCAGAAGTACGTGTTTACTTTTAAGAATTTTGTGCGCTAATGCATCTCCTCAATTTGACATCGTGAGCAAAAAGAATAGATAAATTCGATTATATTTGTTATATGTATCAACTAAAAGAGACATGAAAGACATGTTACCAGCAAGGAGAAAAATATGATGAGAAAAATGAAAAAAAAGACAAAAATGACAAGTTCCCCGCGCCAGGGTTTGAACCCTGACCACGGACCGCAACATGGTGCGGTCAGATGCTCTACCCGCTGAGCTGCGGGGAACTTGTCGATATGGCAGACTGAACTTTAAAGTCATGTTTGAGGTGTCCTACGTACTGCAAAGATCAAACCTAGAAAAACATATCCGCTATTTCATAGGACGAAGGAATCTTCTTTGTGATGGTTTGGAGTTGACTTAATCGGTAAAAATTCTGTCCACTTAGATTTTCTGTTTCTATTTGGAAGTACGTGTTTACTTTTGTTTGCAAAAGTATGACATTCGTCCTTAATACATGACCCCTAATTAGAAAAGGAAAAACATAATTCAAAGCTTCCTCTTTTGTTACGTTTAATTTAAATACAGACTGGTAATCGGCCAGTTTTTTCCTTTCAGGTTCGAAGGCTCCAAAAAACTTACGCGTTTTCAGTCTTTGTTCCACCTGCTTGACAGTGACCTGGGACCCAGTTTACATCTCCCCCACAGATTCTCTAAAAGGGTATCACGTGACCTATAGGGGCACATCAGGAAAGGTTCACACGAAGAAGATAGGAGCTAGAAAATCTATCGCACAGCTGAAGAATCTTAAAAAGTTTTCTACTTATACCGTGACGGTCACAGCTAAGACGGATGAAGGACTGGGAGATACAAGTGCATCAGTTACCGTTACCACAATGGAAGATGGTAAGCTGCTACACATTTCCTTGTAAATTAGTTGCAAGAATTTGGTGTTAGATCAAGACAAAAACTTCTACCTGATACATATGAGTATTCTCATTACCTGTTTTCTGGATAGTGTATGGATATTTTAGGGAGAAGTTACATGTGAATCACATCCGGGAGTTAAAGGGTTAACTACACAAGTTTTGTAAATGTTATCATGAAGAAAACTTCATACATGGAGTTTTTTTTACCGTAGCTTTTTCATGCATGGTTTCTCTGATCGTGTCAATCAAAAAATAAAAGGGGTACGTTTGTAAAGAAACTGTGTAGTGCTGCGTCGGTAGGGGTGTTACAAGGTGATTTGGTTGTATCAGCTGAGTCGATAATGTAAAATAGTTTTCAAGGCTGACGTTTTGAGTGTTGGCTCATTCGCTCTGACCAAAGGCGAACGCTCAAAACTTCAGCTTTAGAAATTCTTTACGGCGGCCAATTTACATTATTAACTCAGTTGATAAAACCAAATTGCCTTGTGTCAGTAACATGTTTGCTAGACTTCTGTCATTTCGTCCGAGCTAAGAGGCACACACTGCGAGATATATTGTGAAGTGAAAGAAAAGAATCTTGCAATAGAGCCAGGAGTAACCATTTCTGTAAGCGCTTCCTTATGGTGTAAAAAAGGTCTGTGCCGGAAAGGGGCCGTAAGGCGATACCTCAATACGGGCACTTGCTCTCAAGCTAAACAGATAGCGGTAGGGGGTCCTATAGTCGGTGGTAGACCGCCACTAACCAGTTTTAATGAAACCCCTGCCTAGTGCACAACACACTGACATGGTTAGGGTTCAATCATGGACCTGTGTAGTTTATTACGGAGTTCATTGAATGCTGGTCATCCTCAGTGGTAAGAAAACGTTCCGGGTTACTGTAAGTAGCGCTATATATAAAAGAGTATGGGAAAATCTAAAACCAGCTTTTTCGTACCTAGTTCCAAGTCGTGCTCCGCTCTCTACGCGGGTGCGGAGCACTGGGGCACACAGTATCTTGATCGAGTGGAGCCCAGTCCCTGAGCAGTACGTACACGGCGTTTTAAGAGGCTATCACGTGTATTACAGAGCAAGTCGGCCAATGATAAAACGTTCAGTCAGTCAAATGGGAGTGATAAAAGCCGTTTCAGTCAATAAGTCAATTCAAAGTGTGGAGATAACGTCTTTAGAGCCGTTTACGCCTTATGACGTATGGGTTTCTGCGTATACTGCGATGGGCAGCGGTCCTCCAAGTAGACCCGTGACAGTGACCACCGATGAGGATGGTATGTTAATCACACTGATATAGTCTTTCTTACAGAGCAAGCTTCAACCTAGTGTCGATAATAATCCTGATTTGCATTAGTTTTACCTCTCTAAGCTCTGCGATTGGTCAAGAAATCTTTGCGTCAACCTCTCAACCAATGAGTTAAATTATCGTATCGGTGATCACTCACTTTTTCCTCCAATTGAGGCAGCTTTCTTTCTTGCTCTTATTTTGAGTTCTCAGTTGCTCTTTACGATATCTTCCTTGGCTTGGATGGACCATTTTGATTTCAGTTCCTATTTTTGACCCATCATGCCTATATGCGGAGTGCCTGCTTCAGCTCCGCGAAAGCGAAATTCTTATTTGGCTTAGGTGGTTCTGTATGAAGAGTTTTTGGACTGTTTATCGTCCACGTTTCTTTTCCTGGTCCATGAAAACGCCAAAATTAGCTAAAATCGAGCAAACTAAACGGAATAAGTTTGTGGCAACGGCTAAAAAACACTGAGTAACTTAATCTTAGAAACTTATTGAATTAGTGTTGGTATCTCAGCAACTGTTTACCCACCTCTCCCCATCACAAAAATAGGCAACTGATAACAAGTTCGAGTTAACGATGTGTAAGGGGAGGGGTGGGTGCGCGGTCACTCAGATGCTGCCATTGACCCAAATATATTCATGTATCTTCCGTTGCTCCACATTTCCTATCAATGTAGTGCCATCACGCGCTCCTCGCATTCTCGAGGTGTTTGCAAAGAGTCCCAACTCAGTATTTGTCAAATGGGAACCCATACCACAACACCACGTGAAAGGATTACTCCAAGGTTACCACGTGCACTACAGTCAGATAGACACGAGTTATCCTGTGCTAAAGAACGTGATCACTGTAAACGAATCTGTGGCGCATGTCACTTTGGACAACATGAAACCGCTGACAAGGTATCGTGTATGGATCACGGGATTTACCAAAAAGGGCTCAGGGCCCAGCAGCGATAAAACATTTGTTTCCACACCTCAAACAGGTCAGTAAGTCTTTTCCAATCCGCATCAGTAATCAGCATCTAATTTCTCTTTACAATATCACCCCTGAATCAAACGTTAATGTCACAAGAATAAAGAAATGATCACTAAATAAAACAGCTCTTGATTGTTAATCAAAGTCTCCTTGTCAGCACCTTAGGAAATGTATAGAGAACAATATGGATCACAACTATAGAGAACAATATGGATCACAACTATAGAGAACAATATGGAGACGTCAGGGTGTAAAGGGTTGATCATCCTCATCCTTTAGCCCTTATTATCTTTAATTCTTGGTTTGTTAGTTCTTATCTTTTGGAACTATTATCTTGTATATTTTCTTTCTTTGATTCTGTGCAATCAGTGAAGTAAAATCGAAAAAATGCACTAATAAATTTACATTTTATTAGATTCTATTGAATTATTTATATTTCGTTCAATTGTAGTCCCAGGCAGTCCTCAGGGAGTCAAAGTCAGTATTGAAAACCCTCAGAGTGTTCTTATTACTTGGAGGTCTCACTCAAGCTTCACGAAATTCGTGACGCGTTACATGGTTAAATGGCTTCATGTGGGTAGCACCGCTGACTCCAGAATGGACGGTCATAAGATTGTAAACGCGGGAAACCCGTACCGGAGAGAGACTCAAGTCGGGGGACTAAAGCCCCATAACATGTACTCTTTCATGGTGCGAGAGGAGACTGGGCAGAACAACTGGGGAAAATTCTCCGACCCTGTTGATGTTATTATGCCTGAGGATGGTAAGCTTGTTTCAACCTTTATCAAACTGTATTATTCTGTGTTATATAAGCATTCACTGAAAGCGTCAGGAAAAAGTGTGTAATTCGACGTTTTAAGAGAGTGCTAGGCGACATCCACAGTCGTAAGTTGACTAATTTGCAGCCAATAACTTCGCAGCAAAAGTGATTATTTTTTAAGGAACCTGACATGTAACATTCACTTGAATCTAGTAATGACCTCCCCTCCTAAGCCTGTTGTATAGGCGTTAGTCACTGCCATACAGGACTACCTTCACCTGCATGATCCTACAACACGATCACATATCACAATCACACAACTCAATAACATAACGCGATCTCATAACAAGATCAACCTTTAATTCTAGTAGAATATGGCGTGGTTGTAACCCTATAGTTGTGCGTAGCCTTTGTAGCTAAGAACTCCCTTTGGCTTAAGTGTACAGTGTGCGCACCCGACCAAAAAAGGTCATTGGGGTGAAAGGTCATTGCCATTTTTTCCTCTTAAGAACTCGGATTTCTGTTCATGACCGGGTTATGATTTTACAGAAAGAGTTCCGTCAGTTGTCAAGAAGAATCACTGCAAAATATTGGTTTTCTGAAATTTCAATCTTTATATTTTGATGTGATTTTTCCAAAGACACACAAAAATTTACAAGCTCCGCTGTTGCTCTGATCTTACAAAGTACTTTGTTTAATCCAGCTCCCTCTCCGCCGCGCAGAATTTCAGTGAAATACAAAGAGAAAACTCGTTTAGTTCTTCAGTGGCGACGACCAGAAGAAACAAACGGTGTCCTCAGGAAATACGAACTCCACTTTACCGATGGCGATCAGGTTACTAAGACCTACACTGTGGACACTGACGTCGACAAGGAGTATGTGACGTATGAAATGACTCTTCCTGATGTCGAGGCTGAGTACAAGATCAAAGTAAGTAAAAATGTTGGACTTTAACAGAGAACTTGGAATGTCGGTTTTTAGATCCTAGACATTTACAAGGAAAAGTTGTAGCTTATAAGCTTGTATTTGATGACCAAAACGTTCGCGAGGAACTAAATTTGATGTTTTATCTATCTCTATATCATTAGGTACAGGCTTATAACTCAAAACAGGGGCAAATGAGTGACGAGATAACCGTACAGCATTCACCCAGTGTTCAGACTTCAGAGGGTAAATACTATCAAATATTCTGATATCATCAAACTTTGATATGAAAGTCAGAGAAGTTCTTGATTGATACTTAGCAGTATTTATTCGTCTAAACTGTCTAATTGGTTGAAAAGGCTTGGAAATGCTTTTACGAGTCAGAGTAAAGGTGCAACTGGATTTTCGTTAACCAATCAGGATTGAAACGAGTCTTATTAGATCTTCAATTGCCGAACGTGCATAGAAGCAGTTTCATTCTTTTCCAGGCAGCACACCAGGCTCGTGTTTTCCTGTCCTTGGAGGCCGCTTCGTTTGTAGTCTGAACTCTCAACAGCTTATTTCATTATATGGCCTCAGTTTTCTATAGCTTTCTTATTGACGCTTTGTAGCCAATGTCGTTCCCAGGCTTTCGTTACCCTTTTGGTTAAGGGAACTAGGATGCGGGAAACGAAATTAGTTCACAACCGTCATTAGATTCGTTGAGTCATTGATAAAATATTCTTAATACGCTCGTGTTGAGAGGTGTTTTGCTGAATATTACGACTCTATCAACAATGAATCGAAATTTTGAATACTTAAACAAGAAACGAGTTTAATTCAAAACCATAAGTGTTTCCTCTTGCTTGTTACCACCAACGTCTGCTACGAGAAATCCTCACTTGCTCGCTCTTAAAAATTAAAGATATGAATATTACTTTCCCAGCTCGTGTACCAACCAAAGAACCCAGCTTGTTCAAGTCTAAGTTAGTATGGATCATAGCCGGAGTGGTGGGTTTTGTCTTCCTACTGGTGGTAATCACAACTATTCTACTCCTCAGGTTTGTATATGTCAAGGGAAAAAAAAGTAGGTTCAACTCTTTTGCTTTCAGTATATGATGGATGATTCTCCCTCTTACCTGGGTATTAGATAAAAGGATCTATGTCAAAACCTAAGAAACTACAGACCTACCCCACCCCTAACCCAACATTTAACCAAACTTGTTATCAGTTGACTGTTTTTGAGTTAGGGGAGGAGTGGGTACTGGTTGATAGGTTACTTTTGTCATGAGGATGAGGAGGTGACAACGTGGCGTGGTAAATTGTGTTTGGGTTAAAAGGACACATGGGAGCACAGGCAGCCCAAGCTCCAGCTGTGAGATGATCATCTTGCACAATAACAGTTATGGCGGAATTATAAGAGTTTTTATAAATACAATACGTCAAATTCTAAATGAAAATAACTCACCTTACTTCCACAGCGTATCACTTGTTATCTGTCCGTTTACTTTGATGAAAAGAACCCATTTTAGCGAGTTTTCCATTTCGAGGTTTTCAACCTACATAAGAAAAGCCCAAGGCTGAACACTCCATTTCCGAACGCCCGATCCGAGAAGCGAAAAATCCCAGCGCAAAATGACCGGGCGGCCACAAATCCAACGCAGAATCCAAGCACATATACTGTAGTTTCATTTCAATTCACTACAAACTCAATCTTCCCCTTGCATCCGGTGCTAAGCCGCAGTTTGCTTCAAAAATTTCCAGTTTATAGGTTTCTAACAGCCCGCGTGCACATTAACCTTGACACACGACTGTTAAAATTAGCTTGGTAACCCTGCCTACTTTTCAACTGAGCCTCGCCGGGGACCACACCGTAACTTGGCACTCGTGGTGCTAAGACAATTTCTTCATGCCATGAGCGGCACTTTTGGGCGAAACTGATTCTTGTATCCTCTTTGTTCTTTCTGACCAACTTTGCATGTTTTTTTTCAGACGAGATGCTCGACGTTCAAAAAAAAAGGGAGGAGACATTACCAAACGTACCTGTGAGTTTGTCTTTCTCTAGTAACATGCACAATGTATGACATGACCACATTTTATTGCTAGTCATTTTAGTTACTAATCAATCCTTTTGGTGGACCCTACCTCTATGCAAAGTTGATGCGAAGTTCTTTCCGTCTCAAGGAGTTCTAATTTACAGATCAAAACCACTTATTTAACATTCACAAATTATTTGTAGTGGTAATTGTCTGATCATCATGTTATTGTCTTGAAGTGTCCATCATATCACAGACTGCTCGACCCAGGCGACCAGTTCCTGTGAAAGAGTTGGCAGAGCACTGTGCTCATTTCCATGACAATAACAATGCGTTATTTAACGACGAATTCAAGGTAGACTTTGACATTCATTGATGAAGATTAGGAGTTTATACACTCTTACTGAAGTTTATCAATATGAGTCTTCTGGTATAAATTGAACTGATACGAAAATTAAAATGATCTACTTTTTTTGGTTTTGTTTTCAGTGCCTTGATCGGCTTGCGTGGAAATCAACGTGGGAGGCGAGTCAGGTCCCACATAACAGGACCAAAAACCGCTATTGCAACGTAGTGGCGTGTAAGTTGGAATTGTTAGTTTTGATGCAGGTCTTAAAACGTTTCTCTTCGTGGAGACCTAACGGTAAAGTGGATGAATTACAACATTGAACGGAACAAACTCGTCAGCAATCCCGCTTTAACGCAGTGCCAACTTGCTGTAGAGTCAGTCCCATTATCAGTCAAATTTTTATGGAGTTTTACAAATATCAAGAGAAACTGTGATTATAACTTATTTTATCCTTTTCTCAACTGATTGTGCCAATAATACTTAATCACACGACCCCTTCAGACTCCACCTCAAGACTTGAGTTTGCATTCGGATTCTTTACCAACTGAACTACAGAAAACTCGTTTGTGAACTAAGCCTTCTTCAATATTTATGTACTTCTCTTTTGGCAGTTCTTTCGTTTTGACCTTTCTCTTCTCTATGTGGCCTTCAGTTACTCTACTTTTTTGCCATTTAACTATTAGAGTTTTTGAATGTGGTGTATGCCTCATTCTCTATATCTTTTCTTCCACAGATGATCATAGTCGTGTTGTGCTCACAGCCAAGAGAGATATCCCCGGATCTGACTACATTAACGCCAACTACGTTGATGTAAGAAAGCTTGTTTGTTGATCAATTTGGTTTACGTTGATTCTTATAGCAATTTTTTTCTTAAGAGTCGGACTGAACGTTATCCGGGATCGTATCGATTTTACTTCATCATATGATGTGATTGGTCTAGAGAACTCGCTTTACCCTCCCAGCCAATCAAGTGCGCAGCGTCAACCATTTGCGACTAAGTCATTTGCGTTTTGCGCGCGTCATTCAGATTTGCTACATATCAATTTCTCATGGGCTCCCTGTGATGTTTTTCTTTTTTTTCTGGTGATGCTGTTCGGTTATTTACTCCAGTTTTAAGGGGATAAGTTTCTAAAGAAACTGTGATGCTGCTTGGGTGGGAGAGTATAACAGGTTAGTGTTAACAACAGGTAACAGGTTTAGTGTTAACAACTGAGTTGAAAACATAAGTTAGCCACCGCAAAGGGTAAAAGGCTTTTTTACCCTTTACGGTGGCTAATTTTACGTTTTCAACTCAGTTGTTAACACTAAATTACCTATTTACTCCAGTTTTAGCCTTGCAACACTCAATAGAAAAGCACCCTATATAGATACTAAAACAACCCGGTAATGCTGGTTTTTGTTTTCAGGGTTACAGTTTCCCAGCCAAGTATATCGCAACACAAGGTATCAAGGAAATTACCTTTGTCTTTTAAGGATCGGCTGAAGTTTGTCATTTTAAGCACAGAACCATTTTGTCACAACACTGTTGTGATGGCAGCCTCTTTCTTCTAACACTGCATTTAACGTTAACTCCCACAATCTGACTTGCAATTCTCGCCTCCACCTGCTCTACATTTCTTTGAAAAATAGTCATGAGAATCTTGTGTTTTACCAAGATTAAACCCTGCGGCAGATACGTTCAGTTGTCTTTCTTCATTCCCTGTTTGCTGGATAATGTACTGATACTGTGAAGAAAATTTAAATTTCTTCTCACTTGAGCTAACAACACTGGTTAGGAGAAGACGGGAACTTGAAGTTTTGTCATTATCACAATTGAGGTTCTATAGAAACACAAGAGATGAATTTTTTTGATCGAGGTTTTTCATTCGGGTTTGCTGTTGTCTCCTACAATTTTTTGAGAATCTGCATAGGATTTCTGTAAAACCTTACACCTTAAGATCAGTATGCACATTCTCTGTACTGTTCTCTATACATTTCCTAAGGTGCTGACAAGGAGAATTCAAGCTTCGTTAGTTGGTGATCATTTCCTTTATTCTCGTGGCCTTAATGCGTGATTCAGGGCTGATATAGTAAGGAGAAATTAGATGCTAGTCACTCTAAGTCACTCTGTCTTGTGGCTCTATCTCTCCAGGTCCTATTGAGTCAACGGTGAACGACTTCTGGCGAATGGTGTGGGAGAAGAATGTAAAAACGATTATTATGATAGAAATGTTGGGGCGAGACGTAAGTTGTTGCAGGCTGATGCCTCCCTTTTTGTTCTTTGTACACCAAAAGCACTTCAATTTCTACCATCGCAGTCTGTGGTACAAGTTAATTTACCGGTATCGACTGTTTTTTCAGCCGATTTGTATTGACCCGCCCGACCGACTTCACTGGTATAGAGGAACTTCTCTGAGTCCACGTTCTCTAGCGCTTTCCTTATAATAATAATAATAACAGTAATATATATATATATAAACATTTTTAAAGTCGTAAGTATCTTTTAGGACAGTTTAATTAGTGTTTGGTAAACAATTTGTCCAACTTTAGGAAGATTCACCTTGTGAAAGGTACTGGAGCGAGGCTGAGCCCAAAGAGTACGGTCACGTGGCTGTATCACTTCTTAGTAGTATGGCTATGTCAGACTGGACTATCAGGGATTTTATGCTTTGGGTGAGTGAGCAAATCATGCAATGACGTAAAAACAGTTATTCTAGGCCTCGAAACGTCGTAACGAGAATTACTAAGTGGTATGAATTAAGCACCAAGCAGAACTTGCACTCATGTGCCTGCTACTGTAGTATACAAGATACCTGGAGTGAAGTCTTATTTGCATTGGAACCATTATTGAGGAGACTTAGAATTTTTATTCTTCATGTGTTTTTTTCGTTTTTGTTATTTATTCGACTCACAATTTTTCCCACTCTGAGTAGACTTCTATCATTTGCTCTGACGAAGGGCGAACACTCGAAATTATCACACACTTTTGTCTTGTTTCCCAGTGGTAATTCAATTTTCGTTACCAGGCCTCTTCTTTGCTGTCAAAATATCTTGACAAAAACGTCAAAACGCAAAGTTTTAAATAGGGTGTTTTCATTTAACTCTGCAGTCAACAGATCCTGACAGTGTAGACAAGCGAGAAGTAGTTCAGTATCACTTCACATCGTGGCCTGATCACTCGGTTCCCCGGGACACCATTGCTTTCTTAATGTTCCATCACAAATTAAAGACAACTCTGGTTGCTGACCCTGGGCCTGTTATCATTCACTGCAGGTCAGCGGTAGAAATAGACATAGATAGCTTTATCTACATGTGTCGCGTTAATCTGTGAAATATGGGCGTTCCCCGTTTGATAAGATTGTCGAGTAGGCTCAACTCGTGGAATGTAATAGGGAATTTAGAGTCACGTTTTAGGTAACAGCACCTGTTAAGAATTGAACTTTCACTTTTAGTTATGTGAAACTTTTTGCATATGATGTACAATTGAATATTTTTCCTATGGAAATTTTTAAAGATGTCAAGGAAAATGAAAAAAAGGAAATATGAGTTGAATTATACAGTTCGAATTTGAATCTCTTTTTCAACAAAGGCGCTCGTAAAAACCTCTTTAAGCATTAACTCACCAAACTTAGCGAAAATGAAAATTTAAAGTGCGTTTCTGATTAGATCTGACACTCTCTCGTGTGGCCTTCACCTTTTTCTCTCAGCCCCCACGTTTTCTAATTATGAAAACAAAGAACACAAAAGTTCTTGTAGAACGATAGCCAAGAATTGCAGGTTATGTTGATATTTTGCTCTGGTGTTAGCTGGAGGAGTTAAATCACTGTTTTCATTATTTAGTGCTGGTGTCGGACGCACGGGATCCTTCATTGCCATTGACTCGCTGATGGAGCAAATGGACACCGAGAAGGTGGTAGACGTGTATGGCTTTGTGGCGCAAATGAGAAAACAACGTAACTACATGGTCCAGACTGAAGTATGTTACAATTCCTTTGGAGAAGAATTGCTCTTTTTGCTTTATATATCTTTACTTGTGCTCAAATGAAGACCTGTTGTGATTCCTTAGTAATGCACCGCACCTCCTGTACCATGCACTTTGCGTAATTGGCAACATTAAGAGGGCGTCTTTCCCTGCCGCCAAGCTCGACCTATCTTTTCTTATCATGTTGTCTTTCTCGATATATAGCTTGATAGAAAATAAACAGATAACTTCAAATAAGATCAAGGACAAGGCACAACCTGGCATTTTCTTTTAGCTTTGTACAGTTTATTCAACTTAATTTGCTACTAAGAGCACATTTCACATGTAAAAGCTGAACCTCAGTGCGATCAAAATTAGGCGTTGGCTTAATTAACACTCCTTCCCTATCGATCTGACGCTACTACATCTGTGTTTTCGCTTCAGGAGCAGTATCGTTTTATCTACGACGTCCTTAGAGACGCATCCATCTGTGGTGTTACAACAATCACATCAAGTGAATTTGGAAGCGATCTTCTTTGCGTCTCGGGAGATGAACCTGAGGTAGTCGAGCAAAGAACTCTTGAGTTTGAGGTAAGACCTCTTTTTAGAATAGTCTTAACTCTTTAACTCCCAGACCAAATTTGTAATTCTCCTTACTGTCAACCGTATAATTTCTATGATGTTAGTTCAGAGAATTCAGTATCGGATTAACTAAATATCCCCAAGCGGATATTTTTCTTTATCCTTATCAATTGTATGGTTGTTATGGTATTGATATTGTAAGGAGAAATTCTGCCTTTGTCACTCAGGGGAATAAAGGGTTAACCTGTTCCTTCCCTGAAGTGACCAGTAAGTAATTTCTCTTTTCAGTATCAATATATTGCCGAGCAGATAGGCAATAAGAAGAAAGGTGAAAGGAGAAAGGATCAGCTGTGGGATATTTTTGCATCGACCACCAAATTCTTTCCGCCTAAAATACGAAACCCTTTAACCCATAAGAGTGGCTGGTTTCCAATTTGCCCTTACATTATCAGACTTGAGTCAAATGTTAAGGTCACGAGAATAAAGAAAATGATCACCGATCTTGATTTTAAAACGATTTCTCCTTTTCAACACTACAAGAAAAGTAATACTAATGTCAGGGTGTTATCAAAGGATTGAAACTGTGTGGCAGACAGATTGTGTATCTAGGGTGTGGGATCGAGTAGTGTGTAGTTTCGTTGTTTCCTAGTTTGCAAACAAGTGCTAACATTCTTATTTTCTTTGTGTGTTTTTTACGAACAGAGCCTTCAAGACTATTCCGCTCACGAAACGCTGTTTAGAGAAGCACTATTTCGAGAAAACGCATTGAAAAACCGTTCGCCAGAGATGTTACCATGTAAGAAAGTTTCTTTCACCTTCCGTTCAGCTTCGGCTCATAAAATTGTAGTCTTTGTCTCGTGTATTTGTGTTCACTTTTGAAAGTGTGAAACACTGATAGAACATTTTTTTACACAAATTTTTTTTTTATGTTTCTCTTTTTGTTTCCTAGTTAATCACAACAGAGTTTACCTAAAGCCTTTTCCAGACGACCCTTGTTCCGACTATATCAACGCCAGCTTGATTGATGTAAGAAGTTCCTATGCGCTATTTACTCCGCAATTAGTTGAAGTGAAAAAAGAAATGTGCATTCTTTGTTTAAGTTAATAGTTTTGAATCAGAGAACAATAAGGCCTTAGACTTTCATGTGTAACAGACAGATGTTGGATCAGAGAAAATATTGATGATTAAGAAAAGGGAATGTAGAGTTTAGAACCATGATTATGCATCTTTTAATCTTTCCTTAAAAGGCTGGGCTTTACTTTTAATCATCAGAGCTATAACGAAGGCGCCGCATACATCGCCACTCAAGGGCCCATGCCGAGCACAGTCAATGACTTTTGGCGTATGCTGTGGGAACAGCGGTCAACCGTAGTGGTCATGCTCACTGATCTCCGGGAAAATGGAGTGGTAAGACACGTATAATACAGTTCTTGCGAGCATCATTTGAGCGGATATTGACGTAAATTTCATTTAGAAGTTGTTCACTGTCTTTCCTTCTTTTTGTTTTCCTCGTCTATTTATTTATTTACTTATTTGTTTTTGGCGGATTGCTGTGAAGCTTTCGGCTTGCCTTAGTGCTCTATGGATACCAGACCTACTATTTTTCTCACGTTGTTTTAAAGTCTCTCTTTCCTTGCTTCTTTCCTAGGAACAATGTTATCGCTACTGGCCCGAAGAAGAAGAAGGTTGTGCCAAATATGGAAAAATTCGGGTGACGAAGATTGACGAGGAGGTTCTCGAGGACCACACCCAAAGAGTCTTTAAAGTGCGGCGTCATGGGGTGAGTTTAATTGTGGAACTACTTGATAAATTCACATTTTCGGGAGCAGGAATGAATTTCAGAATCTTTTTAAGGGATTTCCTTTCCTTCAACTCATATGCCATCTTTTTGTTATGAATCTTTCCTTTTGGATTGTTTCCTTGCTATTCACAGGGCGACGAAAGTCTCGTGGTGTATCATTTTCAATGCCACGGTTGGAAGGAGAATGGGTTGCCTCGGGCCGAGAGCCTCGTATACCTACAGCACCAGGTTCACAAGGTGGAGCCTGGGGAGTATCACAACGGACCAATCATTGTTCACTGCAGGTAACGCACGTGCAAACCCTCGAGTAATCTATGTAGTGTTGAGATACATTTAACATGCGTGCTACTAACTTGAAATAGTGGATGATATTGTTTGAATTTGCTGCTGTTAATTGGTTTCTGGTGGACTGACTGTCTTAAGAACTGTCTAACTGACTTACTCACTGGCTCTCTGACTGCCTCATTCAGTGGCTGAACATTTAGTCCACCATTTGATAAAGTGATTGATTCAGCTATCAGCACAATAAATGACTGACAATACGCTTCCGTATTATTCAGTTTTTTTTTAAATTAAATCCTGTTAACTTTATTGCTGTCACCCCGTCCTTGTAGCAATGGTGATGGTCGCACAGGAGTATTTCTCAGCCTGTGTTTGAGTATCGACAGACTGGAAACTGATGATAACGTGGACATATTTAACACTGTCCGATGGCTTAGATCACAGAGAGCGGGACTGGTATCTAGCTTGGTAGGTACACAGCGATTTACAAAGGAGTTACACCTTTTCCTTACAGTCTGGTCTATATTGCTTTCTAAATAAGCCTTAAATACTTTGTAAGATAACTTGGTCAATTTTCCTTACCTGTGTTTAGGATCAGTACAACTTCTGTTATGAGCTGATGAAGAGTTACATGGCCTGGAGAATTAGAGCGGCCATCAAGAATGATTATGTCTGAGGACCATCTTTCTCTGAAAGAGGCAATCTTCTATGGATGTGGCTCAGCTGTGTTGCTGTGGCACAGATCTTGGATCATTCGCAGAACATACATATAAATAGACTCTGAAATTACCAAATAGTTAGAAAGCCAAACGTGAATTAGCATCGTCATTATTTCTGTATTGCGCACAGTTTTGTCAGGTTATAATCCTATTGCTTTCTGTTAGTTTGTGCACATGTTAGCGAGACGTCACGCACGCACGCATACGCGAGTAAGGGAAAGCACTACTACCCGCGTGTCTGTTTTCACACGTTTCTTACTCGCGTTCTCGCTAAAAGCCTGTCCTGTAAGCTAGTCATTGTCCACAAAAACTAAGAGAGTTCGAAACTTTTTCTGGTTAATCCTCTAGAGAACTTACCTAAGCTATTGCAGCCATGTTAATATTTCAGCCGAGCGCAAATTTATCGAGTGTCCTAAAGCCAAAACAAGAGTAATCACGGCCGCCAATAAGAGTAGAGAATATCTTAAGGAATCAATGAGAACTCAGTGTAAAACAAGCTAACTGCCTGAAGCGCGGGAAAACGCGGGTGAGCCGTTGTATACAAACTGTAACTTTCTTACCGTGATAGCAACGTTTTGCGCTTGGTCATGTCACGCAATATGCTCCTATCCGTTAAAAATAAGGTTTTTAAGTCTAAAGTTTTTGCCTTCAAAAGACTGATAAGATAGCACCATTATAAAACAAACTATTAGAGAAAAAAACTTAGTTGTTAAATGCTTCATATCATATATGTTAACTTAAGTTTTTTGCTTCCTAAGAGTAACATGACTTGTATTGTCCCGATGAAAGGGGTCATTTTGTTTCGTTTGCGTTCAAGTTGTACAAGATAAAAGCTATTTTGGGTTTTACCTTTTATGCCATTATTATATTACTCACGCTAAGATACATTTTAAAAATAAACTTTAAAGTTACCATACAATAGACATTCATTTTCGCAAAATAAAATAAGGAACTCATGTTTGTTTACTTGGCTTTATAACTTAAATATAACGTTGAAATGATTTTTTTAGTCGGCACTAGAAGCAAAACTTGTCCTGGTTATTTCTGAGGAGTTCATGCCATCAAACTGTTACAAAATCGGTAGGAATTCATGATAAGTATTTCTAAGTGCGTTGTTTAGTTGATGGAACCATAAGGTGACAATTTAGGATGGAAGGGTGGGGAGGGGGGGTCTGGGATTTAGTATGCAAATTGCAAATATACTTGCAAGATACTTAAAAAAAACCCTCTCCTAAGAGAGATTCGGATGGTCTTCCCCTTGACTTTTTCAGTGCAATTTCTTTGATGGAGAAAAAGAAACCATCATCGGTTTCAGCCATTCCAAAAAATCTAAATACTTTCACTCCTGAGAATATATCTTTTCTAGAAAATGAGTCACAATTGATCCGGTTGCTGAAGCTGGGTAATTTTTTTCCTAAAGGTTAACACGTTTAACAGGCATGGTTTCCATGTGATAATCCGTCATTGGAGAGATACTACTTCTTGGGTATGAGAATTTCAGTGCTAGAATTTAATTTTCATTTGTGTCTTTCCAAGACATTCCTGCATCTTATTCTGTAACTTTTTTTCGTGGACTCATAATAAAACGAAATGGTGTGTCCTTGAAGATATCAAATATAATCATACCACTTTGCCCAAGGTTAATTTTAAAAATGTGCGCTCATGTGACTGAACATTATTGAACCTCGTGTGTTTCTTGTCCAGAAGAATCGTGACGGGAGAATTCGAACTCTGGACCAGTATACTGAGTGAATTGCTAAATAAACCTATTTATTCCACACTATTCTCTTTTTCTCCTTTACTTGATAAGCGTTCTTGAATTAAATATACCTCGTACATGCCAAACTGTAATCCGCCATATTGTCACGCAAACACAAGAAAACATTTGCGTGACTTGCGTGACAAAGTAGAATCGGCCCAGATCCCTCAGTAAGCGCGGTTGGACCCACTGAACTATCCAAAATGGCGGGTCAGGTTCGAGTGCTTCAACTCGAAGCTGGTCAAGAGTTGGAAACAAAACTATTCAGAATCGAGAAAGGTGAGTTTCTGGTGCTTTACAAATCACTTATGCCGGGGAGCGTTCAAAAACTGTTCGAAAATTTGTATTTATGTTTCAGAGTGGGGTGACAGCAAATTTACGTAGGCGCAAAACTTACATTTCTAACCAGCTGATTTCTCAGTTTCTGATGTTTTCTTAGAAAAACTGGGCCGAAAAACTGTATTTGCACAATTTGTAGCATGTTCGTGTTATATTTTCGCAATCGTAATTTTTTGCTCTTTATAAAGGGCGAAAATTTGAAATTTATTATTGTGATCGAAGTTCCCGGTGAAATTTCCACATCAAGGGTTATGTTACACCCTGATAAGCAAACACACACTAGAAAAATTGGGACGAATGCAGGCGGATTTGCCTCTAATCTTGTCTTTTATACAATTTGATTTAAGAAAGCTCTTGAAAGGATTGATTTTCACGATTTAGATTGGATGGTCTCAGACAAACATAGGATATAAACATATTTATCGGCTTTTAAATTATGTACGTTTAGTAAGAGGCCTGATATTGGTTGCCTTTTCCAATGCTTCCAATTTATTCAATTTTGCACCGCATGTTTTATGCAGTATGAAGCTTCTATGGATTTTTTTTGTGTTTTATTTTATGACTGAAGTAAGTAAATTTACTCCAACTGATTTTTATATCATTTGTGTACAATTTACCGGGAAGTAAACTTTTTGCTATTAACCAGTGAATGTGCAAGCAGAATTGTAAACACCTCATCAGATGCGTGACACGAATGATATTGATTTGGGTCAATACAAGGTCTAATTGATTTTATCACGTACAACTGTGCCAAATATGTATCCAAAGCTGTGAATGAATAAATCCAACTAGTTTAGCAGGCAGGATCAGAGCTTTCTTTCAAAATCAAGAAATATTCAACTGCATTCTTAATTGAACTTGCAAGGAATTAATTTGACTTTCATCCTCAGTTTACCTGTTTACAGGAAATTTGACTCAAACAAAATCTAATAGTCATGGACAGTTGAAAAAAAAGGGGTTCTTTGGCAACTGTTGATCTCATGGTCACCAATTTGTAAATGCATTGCTGGAGTAGGAGAAACATTACTGACAGTAGTTTGAAAGTTAAGAAAAATATAAACCATCAGCACTATTAGCCTGATATTTTGCATGATCACATACTTTAAGTCACTTTTTTCTTTCTGGGAAAACAATCTATTTTTAAAGTGGCCAAATCACTGTGTTTATAAAAAGAAACTCATTTAGCAAACTGCCAACTTGGTAGGATTATTTTTTCAATTTTTTATCTGTACAATTGTGTATTTTAGCAGCTTTGTAATGTTCAATAGCTAAGTTCTTAACCCTTTACACCCTAAAATTGGTATGTATATTTGTCATACTGTTCTCCATGTCATTCCTGAGGTGCTGACAAGGAGAATTTGCTTCATAATCAGGAGCATCTGTAGTTGTTGATCATTTCCATTAATCTCATGACCTTTATGTTTGAATTAGGTGTGATACTGTAAGGAGAAATGAGATGCTTGTCTCTTTTAGGGGTTAAAAGGCTAACTATTTCTTTTTCTTGTAAGGATGGACTTTACGCTTCACCTTGGGTCCTTCACTACAACCTTACAATGTTCACTTACTTTGCAACCACCCGCCATCCAATCAGCAGTCATTTGATAGGAAAAAGTATACAGAGTTGGCATGGACATGCCCACCTGGACAAGAATGTGACGATGCTGATAGATTTGCAGATATTATAGCACATTCTGCAGGATCATTTCATTTCTATGTCACTTACCAAAATGGTGAAAACAAAGGAAAGGAGTAAGAAAGCTTGTCTTGCCTTAATCCTTTCACTCCCAAGATCTCATTAGTAATCCTCTTTACTGTCTGCTATTCTTTTTTTGTTAGTTTGAAGAACTTGGTATTGGATCAACTAATAATCCGCTAATTGATATTTTTCTCAACTCTCATCATGTGTCTGCTTGATTCTGTATCAATATTGTAAGGAGAAATTCTATCTTGGTCTCTGATGGGAATCAAAGGGTTGAGTTGGGATGGCTAAGTCTTAACCCTGTAACATCAAACTGGAATTTTCCTTTTCAGTCACTCTATTTTTTTTATAGAAACTTAGTCAAGAGAATTAGGTTTATTTTGTATATCAGGATGATGCCCTTCATCTGATAGGTTTGTCCATTCTCATCACTTTTTGAGTAGGTATTATATTAAGATTGAGAAGAGAAGTTAACTGTTGATCACTTCTGAGAGTTAGAAGTATCAAGTCAGGTTGGAGTTTCCAGATAGGGGAGGGGGGTTACTTAAAACCTGGATAGGGTGGCACTGATATAAGACTTTAGAACACTGATCTCATTCAAACACTAGAAGAATTTCCAGTTTAAAGCGAGGCATTTGTGGTCATCCTCACTCACTTGATCAGTTATTAATCAGCTGTCAAAGTTTTAACAGATGATATACAACCTGGCTGTGTCTCTCAATTATTATTTTTTTTTAAGAACTCAAAATGTTCTTTTAGATATTATTGATAGGAATTTGCTTTTCTGTGTAACTGAACATTGTGCTTTCAATAATTCACAAGTGGAATTGATTTCCATGACGGCATATTTGGCTGTCATGTCATTATGCATCAAACTTTACCTTGCCTCTTTTTATTTTGTTTCTGATTTAGAGAGAGAAGGACAACCTCAGGCTATTTTTCAGTGGATCCAGTTTTAAAAGTGAACAGCTCAGAAACTATCCCATTGGAGTGTGTAAGCTTACAGACTGTGCTGTCTAAGAGTTTAGGACCCTTGGAGGAGTGGAGCGATCGACTTAGGGTTAGTACCCAGTATGTGCAGTGAATTATGTAGTACACAAGACCCCAGGCTGTTCAAAGCATAACTAAGCTAACCAAGGGTTAGCCAACAATTTTGGTTTAGTTTTGTAGCTTTGCTGACCATTTTGATTGTTTATATTTTTCCTTAAATTTCTTCTTATGTGAAGGTAAAAGCCCCTCAAAATGCAGGCCCTAATGAGCGCTTTATTTCAAGAACAAGTGAAACAACTGCACCTCAAGAACTGAGGATCAAATTTTCCTTGGGTAATTCCCTGGGCAGATCATTGAAATGTGTTCTATAGCAAGTTACTACCTATACTTTCAAGTTTTGTTGATGTGTCCACTTGGGAGACACATTGCCTCCTTTAGGAAGCACATTGAAGTGTGATGGAGTAACATTCCATTCCTCCATTCAGGGGGAGAAGAAATCAATTAACTCCCTTTATATTTTACCACAATATAATAAGGAATACTTATATTTATACATATTTTGATATTAGATACTTTGTTCAACTGAAGTATTTTCTATAACTTGCTTTGATCTCTCAGGTAACCAAAGAAACTGGTTACAATATGATTCACTTTACGCCAATACAACAACTGGGAAAGTCAAACTCTTCATACTCTCTGTTAGATCAGCTCAGCGTCAATGCTGCTTTTCATTCACCTGGAAGAAAAAATGCTTCCTTTGATGGAGTTAAGGTACATGAATTTGAAATAAATTATACAGCAATTCATGAATTATTAACACTTATTTGAGTAATATCATAGATAAAAAAATCATACTGGTGATTTTTTTTTTTGACTAATTAGTTATGACTGATTCATTAACCCTTTAACTCCTATGAGTGACCAAGACAGAATTTCTCCTTACATTAACAATACAATATCAACCAGATTAGTGATGAGAATAAAGAAAAATATCAATTTGGGGATAATTAGTTGGTGCAATACTAAATTCTCTGAGCTATCATTATTTGATAAGAATTGTCTGGTTAACAATAAGGAAAATTAAAAATTTGATCTGGGTGTTGAAGGGTTAACTAAAGATAATGATAGTTACTAAGTTAGTATTTGTAATAACTGATCTTCAGTTCATTGATAATAATTGTACTGTTTGAAAAAGGTGATTCAAAAAACAATTTTAAGACCCAATCATATCCACAACTCTAAGCTTGACTTGTTAACCCATTCACTCCAAAGATCTGAGTGCTAATTCTCCTAACCTGTGATAATACTGACTGTTGTTGCATATTACTGAGAATTTAGAGTACTATCAAGACAATTTCCTTGCTGATAATTTTCTTAATTTTCATGAACTATCTTATTGTCATTGTAAGGAGAATTTACTTGTTGATCACTCCTTGCAATAAAAGGGTTAAAAAGATGCCATTTCATGACCATATGTTAACAATTTGATGCGCTGATATTTTTTTATAAACTTTTCTCTTAGGATATTCTTGACAAGATGCGCAGTGAGTGGAAAGTGATGTCTATTGTGGACGTAGTTCTGAATCACACAGCTAACAACTCTCCTTGGTTATGGGATCATCCAGAATGCTCTTACAACTTGGACAACTCTCCTCATCTCAAACCAGCATTTTTGTTGGATCGTGCCTTGTGGCATTTCACCTGTCAAGTAGCTGATGGGTTATGGGCTGCAGATGGTTTACCTGCAGAAGTGAACTGTGAATACCATATACATAGAATAGGTGACATATTGCGGTAAGTTTTGAGAGTTTTCTGTCTTTAAGCCCTTTAACTCTCAGATGTGATCAACATGTAACTTCTCCCTGTAATAGCCATACATTATCTAGCAAATAGATAATGAGAATTAACTCAAATTAGGTAATGAGAATATTCATTATCAGGTAGAAGTTGTTATCTTGGTCTAACACCAAATTCTTGTAACTAATTTACAAGGAAATGTGTGGCAGCTAGAGAATTGAAAATTAGTTCTTGGGTGTTGATTAAAAGTGTTCACTCTGAATTGGTTCTTTCTTCTTGGTTACATGTACTCCTTCTCAATAAATCAACTGAGAAAACGTGGTTTCATATTGCAATAGTATCCTCTAGTTGATAGTTGATGAGGTTGTCAAATCTCATCACCTGTTTGCTGGTGCAAACATGGAATTATTAGGAGAAGTACAGTATATTGAAACCTTTCAATCATTTTTATGAGTTGATAGTTATTAAAAAATTATAATAATCCTATTTTCGTGAGCATAGATAAATTATTTACAAGTACCAAGAAATTACAGAATGGAAATATACCAAGATTTTGTTACCAATAGATATTGATTTATTTAATAAGTTATTTTTTTTTAATGTCAGGCACCAAGTCTTGCCAAAACTACAGCTATGGGAGTTGTTTAGTGTGGATGTTGCCAAGGCAGTTGATCAGTTCCGTACAGCCATGCTGAAGGTCAAAAAACCATGGAGTGGCTCTTTAAAACATGATGAGGAGCCACTTGTACTAACAGTAGGTCCATCATACGAACGCTTTTCAGCAACTGTTGATATTGTAAAGGCTGTTGCAAAGTTTAACAGAGAACGGTAAATACATTCTCTTTGTTTTAATTTTCTAATGTAATACTTAATTAACCCTTTAACTCCCAGATCAAATTTGTAATTCTCCTTACTGTCAACCATACAATTCTTATAATGTTAGTTCAGAGAATTTAGTATTGGATCAACTAATTATCCCCAATTGATAGTTTTCTTAATTCTCATCACTTTTCTGGTTGATATTGTATGGATATTGTAAGGAGAAATTCTGTCTTGGTCACTCATGGGAGTGAGAGGGTTAATTCACTTATGGCTATATCACTACTAGCTTACTAGCTCATACAGCTTCCACGATTGATATTACACCTTGACTGCAATGCTAAATCACATTTGATCTAATGTTGTGATATATGCATGTTCAGATAATTTTTGTTTTTAGTTCACCCACTGGTATTCAGCATCATAATATCCATACTAACAGTTGTTGCATGTGTCTAAATTCATCATAACATACTTGAAATGGAACCCATTTAATATAATCACTGTTAGAACATAACAATTCTGTCTCATAGGTTGATAAATTTCAAACTGTCTCTAAAGACAAATCGATTGAAAATGAGTAGTGTATCTCTCTTTATTTTTAAAATTTTTATATTATCTTATCTTTCATAAATTTCCATCATAAAATTTCCTTAAATTAAACAACAGCAAACTTGGTTGTTATAGAAACCTGATTGTTGGAATTAAGGCTTCCCTTTTCAGGCATTTAAATTGATTGTACTTTGTTGCCTCTTAAGTTCTGATGCTTTGGATGAGAAAGGACGGCTTCAATTATGTTGTGAGGACTTTAAAGCACATCTCAACAACCTCAATGACAATGTCAAGAACAGAGAAGTTGCTGATCATATTGAATCTGCCATCCAAAGCGTTCAGAATACAGTGCGGTATGAACGTCTGAATGGGGATGGCCCAAGACATCCAAGAGTTACAAGAACATGTCCTTTAGTAACAAGGTAAGGAGACATTTTTAGGAATTTCTAGATTTGTTATTTAATCCTTTACACCTCAACATCAGTATGCATATTCTCCATACTGTTCTCTAAACATTTCCTATGGTGCTGATGAGGAGAATTTGTAGGGAGCTTAACATGAAGGACTCTGGATCAAGAGGTCGAACTCTGTTTTTTGTGTGGGCACTTTTTTCTCACAGTGCTTAAGCATCTAAGAAAAATACACCTTTGGGTGGGTATTGGGAAACTTTGGGGAATCTTGATGAAATACTATTGGGTTATTTTGATAGATGGACCAGTGTCCCAACCATGAAGATATATAGTTGTGTTATTTACTAGGAGGAGGTCCATGAGGAATTTGAACCGTGCCCTATGTCTTGGGTACAGCCTGAGGCCCAAGGCTGAGTGCTGTAGTCAAGTCCAAGGGCACAGTTTTTTTTTTGCCTATTGCGAAGAACCTAAGTTATTTCAGCTAATTTGCTTTTATGCTATGCTGTCAATGGCATGGAAAAAATTCTGAACCATGGTTTGTATTGTTGAATTCTGGAACGGTTACAAGAGTACAATTAGCCAATCAGACACAAGGAGTCAAGATTCCTTATGCTCCCAGTCACTTCATGAAGTGGAAACCCAAGTTTTTGTAATGATGAACTTCTGGGCTTTCAAAAGTTAAGTCTGACCTTGGATGCTTGAGTTTAAATTATTTATTAAGCATTTGTGTCTATGCTAAAATATACAACCTGTAGAGGCAAAAGGAAAATTGATGGCTCAATGCACCTACTGGTGCAATGAGCACAGCTGACAATGATGATGTAAAAGGTTGTTGAGTAAAACCTTTGTCTGTGGTGATCTTGTGTTCTTCATTACCAGGTATTTCACTACACCTGGCGACTGTGATACAGTCGAAGAAGAGGAGAAGCTCATGTATTCGAACAAGGCAAAATTTTGCATGGCACATCCAGGATGGATATGGGGTGGTGACCCTCTAAGGGACTTTGCTGCCCCAGGATCATTTGTCTATTTCCGCCGTGAAGTAATTGCATGGGGTGACAGTGTTAAACTTCGATATGGTAAAGGGCCAGAGGATGTACCATTTCTTTGGGATTACATGTTGAAGTATGTGAAGATTTGTGCAAGGTGAGATAATGGCCAGAATATCTTTTAGTCTCCTCTCTAGTTTTCTTTCTGTCAAAAAAAATTTCTACAACAAGTGTAAGTTCCTGGAAAAAAACCATCAGCAGAAGCCGTAAACAACTGCTAAATAGAAAACCTAATTTCACCTGCAATGTACAGATTATTAGCTATAACTGATCTGTTTTTTGCGTATCGATATGATGCATTAATTAGCAATTGAAATGACTTCCACAGTAACAACTCAAGGCTACTCTTTGTTTTTATAGCACAATGGCCGCTTAAATTTTGCGGGAAATGACCTCTTTCTCAGCCAGTGCCTAGTGAAATCTGCAGGTCCAGTAACCATGCTTTAAATGTTTATATCTCTGACAATTTCTCTGTGTTTTAGGGTATTTGATGGCATTCGCCTTGATAATTGTCACAGCACTCCACTTCATGTGGCAGAGGTTAGTAGAACATATTTTAAACCGTTAAATAAAACTGTATAGAGAGGCATTGAGTAATTCCAAACCTCTTCCCAAAACTGTTGTGAACTGCACCGGTGCATCCAGACCAGTCCTGTTGAGAAAGAATGGATAAATGTTTCTCTTAAAATGTTAAATTTTAATTGCAGTACTTTGTAGATGCAGCAAGGCGAGTGGAACCTGACCTTTATGTTACAGCAGAATTGTTCACTGGTTCTGAAGCTACGGACAATATTTTTGTGAACCGACTAGGAATTACATCTCTTATTAGAGGTAAGAACCCTTTGACTACCATAATTCAACAGCGTCTAATTTCTCCTTACTAAATCACCCCACAATCAAATATCAAAGAGGGGAATATTGGGATTTTCGCTTTTGCGGTTTTGGCTATCTTAGAGATCGGTTTTTCGGTTTTTGTGTCAATAAAAGTTCGGTTTTGCGGTTTTGTTTTTTATTGCGGTTTGCGAATTTTTCGGTTTTTAGCATTTGGTCTTCGGTTTTTGTCAAAAATACTATTGGGCTTTCGGATTTGGTATCCTATGTGGTTTTCGGTTTTTCCTTTTTGGGTTCCGCAGTTCCTCTTCCTTCTGAGCGGCAATTTTCG